CGGAACGCAGTAACGTTCACATTACCGCTCGACAGCAGAAATAGGTAAGGTAGGAGTACTTCCCAGCACATCCAGTATATAACGAGAAATAGAAATGAAATGTAATTTAATTTGTTTGAAAAGTATTTTGCCAAATCATTACGGTGACAACTGCGCTCCGATTGGCCAGCCCGAATTCGAAACAATTGACGGGTGTCGTCAATTGTTTCACTTCAAACCGAGCAGTTTAACTTCAACTTTGCTATAATGGACGAAAATTGAAAAATTACATGTTAATATTTAATTACCGATTAAATGTTATTCCGTTTGTCTTGTAATTAGATGGTTTGCTGTTTTTCCCACACCACCGAGCCCCCCATTGTTGCAGATATTATCTTGCTTACAATAAACACATAATATTTTTTGAATATACGGAGACGTACACACAGGTTAGTTGTTGACGCTGTACTACTTCAGCTTTCTAATTTGTTATTTCAGCGCAAACGAGAGTTGATATTTAAAAATGATATAAGACCCATTTGCCTGATGCGTTGCCAGGGATGGATGGCCATTATTTCGTCTCTATTTCTAGTTATACACTCGATGTCCCAGCATGAACACTTTCACAAACATTTTTTGACATATATATTCGACATATATCTTTCTCTATAACTGTTTGCTGAGACCTTGAAATGTCTCTGAAATAAATACGCACCTGAGCTGATCTCCCATAATAATGACCTTCCGTTCCAAGAGAAGCGACCCGAAGACTTTGATTGTCAATCCAGCGCCAAGGCTATCTACGAGGATAGACAGACAGTCCTCATCCACACGGGGCTCGATGGGACGTTTTATTATTTTCGTTCTGAAATAAAAAATCGTGAATCAGACAGCAGACAAACATCGTATGGTCAATAACATGTTATATAGCTAAGTGTTACCATGAACCAATAGCTCATAAGGATTGCCAATAGGTCGATATCGTAGGCTGGTTAAATTATATATTTAGAACTGTAAAAAGAAACGGAAGGTTGTTGTCAAATGAACATCGGGAAGGTTCTGGACAAATCTTCAAACTAAACGCTCGCAGTAAATCTTTAATTGTCATTGTATTCCTCGTTTAAATATTAAATTGTACCTCTCATTATGCTATAACCACGGCTACGCTCCCAGGGTACTAAAAAAACCGGCCTCAAAAGTCATTCATCCCCTAGTTTGCCACTCTTAGAGGTGGAATAGTTTCTTCAAATGTAAATGAGACCACTCCTGAGATACACTCATTCCAACAAAAAAAAAGAATCGTCAAAATCGGTTCACAAATGCCAAATGAGTTATCGCGTAACATACACGCACAAAATACAGTCCAATTGCGAACCTCCTCCTTATTTTTAAGTCGGTTAAAAAGATCAAAGCCCTATATCAAGATGGCGCTGATCGATAGCCTAGAGGTAGTTTATGCTATGTAATGGCCATGGATACCAATTAATTCATCTTTTTATGTGAAATATAAGTATAAGCTTAGAATAATAACGCATAGAAACCTAGTCCGCACACGCTAAGTGAGGCAAATTGAAGCGCGCCCAATGGGCCTACACGAGCGGGCGGGTCTTCAGTGCTCAAGGTCAACTTGCACCGCGAACAGATCAAGAATTTTAGCTAAAAATGACGAAATGTGCGGTAAATGAGTGTAAAAATACGTCAGACAAACATAAAATAGATACTAACATCACATTCCACAAGGAAGTAACGCGTTTCAACTTGTATTTTTATATGAATATTCACTAAAACCGAAAATTAACCTACTACTAAAACTAGCCTACATGAATTTGATTTTTGCCTCACTTGTGACAGTTCGTTTGATATGAAACTATCATTCTATGCGTTATTATTCTAAGAGTATAAGTAATCAATTGTATTAGCTTCTTACAATATTATTCAAATATTTCAATAAATATGGCATTGCATTTCGAAACAATTTACAAGTTATCAGTTATGACATCGTTGCCACAATAAAACTCCCATTTTTAGCCGACTTCAAAAAGTAAGGAGGAAGTTATACGTTCAGCTGTATGTATGTTTTCAGGTATCTCCGTCAATTATGGACCGATTAAAAAAAATATTTTTCTGTTTGAAAAGGTGCACTTTCGTGGCGGTCCCATTGTCACCTAGTCAGAATATGATGAGGTGATCTCATGAAAATCGAAGGAAATCCTCAAATTTTAAAAGCATGTCCGTGTTCATGAATTTCACCGTCAATGGTGCACCGATTTTGAAAATTCTTTTTTTTGTTTGAAAGGGTACAATACTCTCGAGGTGGTCCCTGATACTGTTCCGGGTGCGTGTCAACTTTTCACTTGACACTAAAATGTACAAAGGAGCCCGTAACAGTCCCATTGTTACCAAGAAATCAGAATCTGATGAGGGGATCCCATGGATATCGAAAAAAGCAGAACAGCAAACCTTTTTTTTTTTCAATGAAAAAGTTACAATTATGATTATAATTTTTTATCGTTTTGCGCGTGTTCCTGGATAATGTAACCTGCCATGATGATTTGTCTTTAGTGGCTGAGAAATAAACAAGAGATTTGACAAAAGCAGTCTCAACAACATGGCCGCTATGAACTGTCAAAAATCTACTCACACTTGATGGAAAAACCCTTAATTAACATAACACAACGGTTTCAATTATTTATTATTAATTTTGGCTTGGATACAAGTCCTTTGAGCCATGTCTTCGTTTAATTATGTTTCTGTAAATATGGCCGCCACAAAGAGGATAGGTAATTTGAGGCGGCGTGTTTGGATTGACTCGGGATTCCTTAGAACGGGCCGACACGGGTATTTTAGTTCGAGATTCGTATAATTTCGCGTTTTAATCTTCGATTAAGGCACAATAGCACTATCCTATTCCACTTTAAACTAGATTTCACAAAATAATTGAAAGTCAAAATAAAAACGACACTTTTCCCTCCAAAAGGCCCACAGCGAATCACAACGGTTTCAATATAAAAAAACTTTCCAGCTCACCTAGGTCCATCAAAATATAATTTGACTTTCTTCGGACTATTGTTGTTTTCCAAATCATAAAAATCTGGTAACGTTTCACTCTTATCTTCAAACACATCATCGCCGTTTGAAATTCCTGCAGATCTGCCAGAATTTTCAGTTGAACTGCCGGAAATTTCTTCAGATTTCGCAGGACTGACGGAATTTCTGCAATGTCTGATATCTGGCATTGTTTTACATTTTAAAACATCTCCCAAGTTTATGGAATTGCGGAATATTCTTGTTTGCCCGTTGTTTTTAGTATATGTTATTGTTATTTCTTCGCCGGCGCTCGGGAAGTCCGTTTCGAATAGCTGTTGAAGTATTGAATGGATTTCTACGTCTGAGCTGCCGTGGTGCGATTCAATCTCTTGTAGGATCTAAAAAAATAAATAATCAAACTTAAATAATCTTCATTTCATAGGTAAGCAAATTAAAACACTTAAAATCATTTAAACTACTCATTCCCTGTTAAAATTACTAGTTGTTGACAGTCGTTTTAAAAAGTATCAAATTTATTTATGAGGCAATTGTATACGCCTCTTCCGGTTCAAATCATAGTAAAATTGAATAAAATAAATTCATTAGGGTTTTCCAATTATAATAGCGGCCTATCTAAGTCTGGAAATAAAATCATATTTAAAATAAATTCCAATGAGTATTTAGTATGTAACCAGACTGATATCTACAACGATTAGTTTCTTAACGTTGAGCGACATCTAGCCGCCAAAAAATCAATGTCAATGTCAAGGTCAAGGTCAAAGTCAAAAGGAATTGCAGTACCTACGTATGGATATGGTCCATATTTAGTTCACGTAATATCAAATGTACTGATTCGATCGATTTGTAATAAACTGGTAAAAGATTAACTACTTCATTACAAAAAATAAAATCTATAAATTCTTCTCCAAAATGCCACGCGAGATAATGACAAAAAGTTCCCAAAGTAAGGGATAGACGGCAGGTTTCACAAAAAAAAAAATTATGTCAGAGTTACCAGTGCAATATTGTCTGTGGTATGTTATTAATTGACTCAGTTTTTTTGTTATGGCTTAATTTCATGCCTTTTGATCATACCAGTACACAAAATAATTTCCTATGAACTTTCGTCACGTCACAAGAAGTTGAATGCTTCTGTAGTTTATTTTGATATAATATTACACCGAATATATTTTATACAATTACGTAACACATAACCTCCTAAATTTCAAACTGGAATTTCTTTAATTCGAAACTTCTCAGAATAGCAAACCCAAAACAAAATTTGTTCAGGAATTTCAATTCTATATTTTCACATATTTTTCATAAACAGACGGATACAAATTATGTCAACAAAAATTTATATGGTACGTTGTCATTATCCTTTGCTATTCATGAGGTATAAGGAACTTTATACTAAAGTCTTATTATTATACAACTTCTGCGCACTTGGATGGCAAATATCCATGGCAGTGACCCATTTAGCTCTTGCAGATAGTCTCGATCCGCTTCTTGCCCGTGGACTACCTGTCTGTTTCACCTGGATGGACCACGGGCAATTATTTCTTCCCATGGTTCACCTTTTACACTCAAAACTTATATTGGTGGTGGTCCACCTCATACATTAAGTTTGATGCTGGCCATTATAATATTTATCATTATAAATAATCTCAGTACAGAGTACTAAAAAACCGACCTCAAAAGTACGTGGCATTAGTTCGCCACTAGGACTTGACACTGGATATAATAAAAAGAGGTTCTCACTACGACACTACTCAAAGTATATTGTGAGAAAAACGCCTTGAATGGGAGAAATAGCAAAATCAACCATTAAAGTAAATGCTCCTAAATTAAAGTTAGGCGCTATTTATAAAAATGAATGCGTGAACAGCCACCCTTCGAGGTTGGTGATTTTCTTCAAAATGAAATGGGACCACTATGTAAGCACCCCCTTTCCAACAAAAAAGAATCATGAAAATCGGTTCACAAATACCGGAGCTATCGCGTAACATACATACAAAAAAAAAACAGTCGAATTGAGAACCTCCTCCTTTTTTCAAGTCGGTTAAAAATGTATGCATTACTTACAGTTTGATACAGAGTATTTTTAATGTTTACTGCGTGACATTTATTAACATTATTATTATATAAATAAAGAAACAAATTTTACAATACTTATAAAGCTTGTGCATCGTGGGCTAAACTCGAAAATGAAAATAAAGTTATGAGACAAATAAAATTGTATCTAACACTTTTAGACATCATCAATAATGTTATATAAACTTGTACTTATATATTATTGCTACTAACATAAAATTGTGTTATTCACTACACTTGAAATAAATATTATAAGTGATATATTGTACAGTGATATAACAACTTAAATACCAATTTTATTTCCATGTCTTTTCACAAAAAACTTACCAGAAAAAATCATCTGTTTTTATTGTACTTTCTGACACTTTTTAGACACCACGTTTTGCATAGAATTACCATCGTTTAGAAAGATCTATTTAAATATTTTTATAGTGAAATGTACAGTCGTGGGAGGTTATTAGTAACCTACAAATAACCTTCTATATGCACAAAACGTTTATTTACAAAGAGCAAACCCAGAATCTCGGGGAATTTGCCTTACGAATGAGCGGTAGAGTTTGATCAATATGACGACTTTAAGATTTTGTTATTTATAATTTTTTTACATACCTTGTAATAAAAACCAGGAGCTCTGTACTTGCCTATCAGGCAGTAGCAAAGAGGAAGACATGTTGTGGCGCCCTCTGGTAGCACACGTCGACAATAACTGAAAAAAAAAGTATCAACATCAAGGTTAGGAAATGAAACTATTTTTCCGGATTTAAATCGCGTATAATTACAGTTGTTTTTTGAAACGGTAATTAATATGTTTTAATTTATTCTAATTTCCATTATAAATCAATAATAAATTTACCTTAATAAAAATGTATATCGTTAAAATAAAATAATTTGTAAAACATAATGTAACGTAAACGTAAAAAAATAAGGTATTTAATTAATAACTTTTGTAACTATAGTGAAAAAATTGGGAGGTTTGCATTAATATTAGATATAACTGGTTGATGACTGTACCACCTCAGTCAACCGTGACCATGGGACCTGTAAAGGCCCCGAAACGTGGGTTTGTTTGAAAAAACAAATACACGCCATTTAAATCCGGAAAAATAGTTTCATTTCCTAAGAACTCTACCTCTAAGGTAAATAAAATATTGTACCTCTAAGGGTGGCAAAGTAGAGGACGAAACCAGTTTCGCACGCTTTAAGGTTATCGATTTCAATAAAACTTGGGAAATAGATGTAATTCCACGATCTTTTGAGGTCGGTTTTTTATATGTGAAAATACTCCACCAGTTCGTTATTTTTATTGTTACAAAATTAAGTAAACACAAAGAAAAAATTATTAGATCTGGACTCGAACCAGTGTCTGTTGCCTCGCCGTGGTTACGTGTCATATATCTATCAATTTATCTCTTCCTTTACCACTCCAGTATCTGTTTTTAAATGCCGCATAATATTGTTTTGATCTAATAGTAAAATAGTCTGCCTTTTTTGAATACAGAGTAAAATCACACTTGTGGTGTTGCCAGGTTTCATAATATTTTAAATAGTTATGTAGTTGTTATCGATAGTTTTATCGATAGATTGCGAACGAAGATAAAATTTTGCCAAAAATGACTGAATTGTGAATATTACGACGTCCTAATGATTAAAAGTTGCATTATTGCCTTCTTTATTCTTATTTTGACCGTTGGCGTACTAGCATGGAGATCAATTTTTATTTATATACATTTTAACAAGAATAGCCTAACTAACTAATAATCTAACTTAGGCCTTTTCAAGACGTGCATGTTCCATCGTCGACCTCATCGTTACTTTCCACCAGGTGAGACAGAGGTCAAATGCGCACTTACATTTTTATAAAAAAAGCCGGAATTAATTATCTACATTGAATTTAAATGAAAATCTTTAAAATATGTCTTCTCTTTGTATTTTTTATAAACATAGTTCTAAATACAGTGTAATTAACTATGTATCTTTGAACTTACAAAAATTGACAATTTTAATGAACTTGTGTTCAGTAATTGGATGAATAATGGGTCGAGGATGGTTCAAATGAAACAAATTTGGCTACTTATTCCATAAGCATAACCAATATTCGGTCATCAACTGAAATATTCTATCGACTATACGATAGTCGATAGAATATTTATCGACTGCAATCACTAGCTGCTCGCAAGCGGGCAACACTTTTACGCAATGAACTGTCATTTTACTCCGTCTATTTTTTTAAATTCTGCAAATCCATTCACAATTTCTGCAAATCTTTACAAAATTCCTGCAAGATTCATTCAAAACTCACCCATAAGACCGTTCCCCTCTTTCATCGGTGAGGATCAAGGAGTAGCATTGAGTGCCTGACGCCTCCACTGACCATTCTCCTTTTTCCCTTTTCCATTCTCCGTTGTCTGTCGAACTGAGGGTTTCTGGGAAGATTAGGTTCTCGATGTGGGGTGGTACGTGGACCTGAAGAAATAAAGGTATAAATCATCATCAAGATCAACACTTTTCAAATTCAAATTCAAATTCAAAATAATCTTTACTTCATAGGTAAGCATTATTACACTTGAAATCGTCACAATGGTTAAACTAGAGCGGTAGCGCTCTACTTGCTCTTTCACAATATTTTTTTTATTTGAAACATCAGAGATCGAGACTACCTCCATGAGCTAAACGGGTTACTACCACGGATTTTTGTCATCCAAGTACGCAGAAGTTGTATAATAACCTTTAGTATAAAGTTTTTGTTTCACTATAGTTTTAAACCTCGTGAAAGGCAAATTTTGTATATCAACCGGAATCTTGTTATAGAAGCGTATACATTGCCCCTTAAATGATTTTTTGACTTTGTGAAGACGACTATCAAGAAAAGCTAGTTTATTTCTATTCCTCGTATTAATGTTATGTCTGTCACTATTTTTCATAAAGAAATTACTATTCCTTTTTTAACTTTAAACGTCTCATAGCGCCTTGTGAAAGAGTTCGTCCAGGAAAGTACCTTACCTTAATTATTTTTGCCGCCAAACAGTAATGTCAGCATTACTGTGTTCCGGTTTTAAAGGGTAAGGGTGCTGGTGAAATTATAGGAACATGGGACTTGTCAACTTATGTCTCAGGGTGACGGGCGCAGTGGCAGTGGCAGTCAGGTCTCTGCGATTTAAAGTTCTGAGTGGCACTGCAACTGTTATGGACAGGCGTGTCGCTTACCATCAGGCGCACGACTTATTCGTTCCGTCACCTGATATTATAAAGCAAAATGTCCCATAGGGCACAGGGGGCCTAATATGAACTCTTATTTTCACGCAATTTACGCCATAAAGTAAACTGCCTTGTAATTTCGTATTATGAACTGGTAATACCAGCCAGTCAGCGCTCACGTGACAATAGGCTGTCTTCTGCCCGAAGTTTGGCTGGCAATATCGTATTACAAACGTCATCTTGACATTTGTTCACGTTTGATCTGTCAAAAAGTAACAGCAATAAACCGTTCAGTTTATGGTGTCTTGGTGTAGCTTTTATTGGATTGTTTTGTACATACTACGAATTTTCTCTAAATGTTTTAATTTCTAAATGTATATCTTACTATACGTGTTCTATTTACTTCAGTTGATATAAAACAAATCATTGATATATGTAAAATACCTATTGAATACAGCGGTTTTCTTATAAAATTTCGAGATAAGTTTCAGCTTTTTTTTAAATCGTGTTTTCACACTATATAGTAATCAGTGCATGTCCTCAATTTTACTATATATTTTTAAACCAACCAAAGCCATTTATGGTTGTAAAGACTCTTAAACTTATACGGTAGCTGGAACTTCAACAGCGACTTACTTGCGCGGGAAACACGCTCTTCACATACGCCTCCCCGGTCATATGGTTCATTCCTACAAGCAGGCACACGTTGAACAAACTTCGTTCACGAGGCTCGAACGGGAGTTCGATGTCAACGCAACCAGTCTTCTCGTCTATTGAACTGGTATCTAGACTTTCTGTGCTCCCTGAAACAAATTTTCAAGGTCCATTCAATCACTAGAAAGACCCTGTAATGTCAGCATTACTGTGTTCTGGTTTCGAAGGGTAAGGGTGCTGGTGAAATTACAGGCCAGGCACAAGCCTAGTAGCTTACCATCAGTCATCAGTGTAGGCCTTACAAATATTTCTCCCGGCCCGGGAATCGAACCTGGGACCTCTGCGGGGCAGACCAGCATGGTCATGGCCACGGAGGGCATCAATTTATATCAAATTATGGACTGACAATTATTGTCCATTTGATTTAAGTAGAATCAGTGACAGTAAACAACACAAGTGGCCGTGGCGGAGAAGGCATTCGAGTGTGCGGGTAAAGTTCATAGTATAATAAATAGTCCATCTTCTGCTTCCCGGCGCGTACGTCACTCGAGGTGGTTACATTATTAATTTAATTGGGCATAATATTATTTGATCCTTCAAGGTTCCAAAAAAGGATCCAATCCACAAAATTATCAATAAATTAGCCAAACGGTTCGTAAAGTCTAACCTCTTAGATGAGCAAAAACATCAAACATATAAACATAAAATAAACTCAAACTGCCATAATATCTCGAAAGTGACTTAATGTGCATTGGATCCTTTTTGTTTAACTACGTCTAATTGATCTATTGTAAATTCAGTTGAATTGAGGGACCTTTTCTTTTTAAGCCGACTTCAAAAAAGGACATTTCAATTCGATTGTATTTTTTTGTGCATATGTTACGCGACTATTTGTGAACCCATTTTGACGATTCTTTTTTTAAAGAAAGGAAAGAGGTATTAGTCCCATTTAAATATGAATAAAAAATTCCACCTGTAAGGGTAGCAAATTAGGGGATAAATCACGTTTATTGGATTTCAATCGTTTTCAATAAAACTTGGCAAATAGATGTAATTTCACAAACTTTTGAAGTTGGTTTATTTTTTTATGAAGTCTGTTAAAAATAAAAAGAAAACACTTACCAAGCTCATCCTTCATTGTTAAAATATTCCCTTTCGAGTCCGTCAAATTGCATTTTGAATCTGTCAAATCCGCCATTTTGTTGTTCAAATTATTCTGCGAAGTACGAAAACTCTTCCAAGACCGAAACGTGTTATATATGGTCTCTGATGGTTCAGATTTGTAGGAGCAAATGGACGTTTGGTGCCGGTATCTCGTGTTCTTCATTGATTTCTGGTCAAGGTACGCAACCCGCGACGATACTCTCCGAACGTAGTTTTTCCGCTTCTCAGTTAAACTACGAGTTAGTTTCACTGACTCTGTAAAAGACAAATAAAATACAATTTAATTCAATAAAATCAATTATATTCAACAGATACTTGAAAAATCATTATTCTAAATACTTGCTGCGTCTATGTATTCGATTCAATCAATCGCTTTAGTGCCGAAGGACGTTTCCCATCACTAAACAGCGCTTGTGACGTCATTGGAGGTACAAAAAATTTGGAAGTACACACCTCAAGGGATATGTCTTTAGATATACAATGTGTTGATTTGCATTCTCGCCATATTTACAGAGGTTATTCTATATCGGAAACTGAACCCAAATGACTAAAAAATAAATCGCAAAATAAATTTCGCAAATTCCTATTTTTAATTTAATTGCGGCAAACAAATTTGATTCAAAGGTCATTGACTTGCGCGGCACTTGCTACAGGGACCGGCAAACATTTTGAACAATGACCTCAAATGCGCAGAACCGCGTCCATTTGGTGGTGGGGCGCGGGTAGCGACGACGGCGGGCGGGTGTCGTATCGAGCGCGCGATTGGTAGATTAGTCAACCTTGCCTGGTGCATGCGACTTCGAGACAATTTTGCAAAACTTTACTAGATACAATTAGTCAGAATATTGAACCGAATATTTTTTTTTGCTTTTAGATGATTTAGCAGTATTTCTATTATTAATTTCTTAAATATGGCTAGAATCAACACACTGTATAAGAGAACAAAAAGTAACGAAAACGGACACTCTGTGCCCCTCTCTAGCTTTAGATACCGTACCATGCCCCGCGCATTGACGGTCACATTGACGGAACGGCAACAAGTCTATCAGCGAGCCGTTTCGCGCTAAGACGGCTTTGATATTTGAATACAGTTTTCATTTATTCATTACGAAACTGGTACGTTAATACATAACATCATTGTACGTTACTATTTATTATGATCATGAATTGAATGAATGAAACGAGGTGAATAACTCATTCAGTTATTGTTTTCTTCATTTATTTAGTGCAGAGTAATATATAAAACAGATTTATTATATCAATATAATAGACACCACAAGTTCGAGAACTATTAGACAAGAGGTCTCGAAATTTCTATTTGTATTGCCGATAAATATTATGTAGTGAATATGCCTAATTATTAATTAGGTAATGATATCTTCAGTATACGTAATGATCATATAATTTACAAATGCGTACAATAACTTCTTTTGTTTGCTACTACAGCCCTTACAAAGTCACTATGCACGTTAAACCAGATTTTCAATAGTTTTATTCTCTGATACGACAGCACGATAGTACGAGAAAGTGATGGGTAACCCTACCAGTTCACACACACATTTGCGCGTGTGCAGATAGCGCCTTGCTGTATGTAGTAGTAGTAGGTAAATAACTTTCGATCGTTGTATGGTGTGTCCGGGGTGTGGTAAGGGTGCAGGTGAAATTATAGGTACATGGAACTTATCAAGTTATGCCACAGGATGACGAACGCAATAGCGGTTCCCCTCAGATCTTTTCAGACAAACGCGCGACTTGTTCGTCGCGTCATATGGTATTGTAAAAAAAACACATACCTTCGCTGGCGTTATCAGGCTGGTCCTGGATAGGAAAGCTGCCAGGTTTATTCTCCATACTGCACCCAGCTGTCACCGTCTCGTAAATCTCCGTCATCAGTCGGTTTAACTGTAACAGTGACAATGTTAGTTAGTTATGTATTTAGTTTTATTAGTTCTATGTAAAGTTGTTCCTTTTGTTATTTGTTACTTTTAAGAGTTGATTCTACTCCAGCTCGAAATCAAGTTTTTTCCCGTACTAATACGGTTCATTTTGCTTGGCTCGAGCGGCAGGACGCTGGCCTTATTTCAGAATTTATTTTTTTTACTAACGAAGTTAAAGACATTTGAAAAACGTATATCGTATAGTATACGTGTGCTATTTATTTAAGTTGATATAAAAAGAATCATTGGTATATGTAAATTATCTATTGAATAGGTTTTCATTTAAAGTTTCGAGGAAGTTTGTAGTAATCAGCTTAGAATAATAACGCATAGAAACCTAGTCCGCACACGCTAAGTGAGGCAAATTGAAGTGCTCCCAAAGGGCCTACACGAGCGGGCGGGCCTTCAGTGCTCAAGGTCAACTTGCACCGCCAACAGCTCCAGAAATTTAGCTAAAACTGACGAAATGTGCGGTAAATGAGTGTAAAAATACGCCAGGCAAACATGAAATAGATACTAACATCACATTCCACAAGGAAGTAACGCGTTTCAACTTGTATTTTTATATAAATATTCACTAAAACCGAAAATGAACCTACTACTAAAACTAGCCTACATGAATTTGATTTTTGCCTCACTTGTGACAGTTCGTTTGATATGAAACTGTCATTCTATGCGTTATTATTCTAAGGTAATCAGTGTATATCATCAATTTTACTGTATATTTTTGTCAAAGTGATTGATTCAACACTTTCACTGTTATGCCGAATCAACCAAAGCCATTTGAGGTTGTATCGACTCTGAAATGGTTTAAGTTTTTTTTTGTTGATTTTAGTAAATAAGTTGTCATGGAAAGGAATAAAGTTTTTATCTATCTGTCAGTTTTAGAGCAGCCATCGGTAGAATAATGTATATCGTACGATTTTTTTTCTTTTTAAATTTTCAACACTATAACCGAATCGAACGTCAAACTGTCGTATTCGAAACCGAACCGAAATAACGTCACCCCCGTACGATTACTCGAACTTCTCGAACGGCAAAGGCTACAAACGTTAATCAGAACACAGTTATCGAATGAAAGTTACCGAACGCCCTATTGTTTACAAAGCAAGAATGTAATATGGACATCTCTTATTATTTTAAATAAAGTCTGGGTTATGTTCATTGACTTACAAATAAATGGACGACGGGTCTAATACAAAAACCACGAAAAAAATGTCCCAAGTCAACCTATTTAAACGTAGTGACATGTAAAGGAATATGAAAAAGCTAAAACTTTGAATTTAATTGTAATGTCATCGCAGTACTGTCTAATTTTGCTTGCTTCGCTGTCAGTCGAACAAACGAAGACTAAAGCGTGAATGACGCTCTGTATACGATTTTAGCGCCTATAAGTTCGGACACTTTTTAGCGCGGACCCGACGTCCATATAATTGTAAGTCAATGGTTATGTTCAATTTTATTAATTTATTTTAATGCAAGACTAATGCATTCCTATTTAAAGCAAGCCTTTCAATTCGAGAACGATATCCAATCTAACGATTCAATTAAAATATCGAAGAATTCTGAATCGGGGTCCTGGTCTCAACAACGAAATTCAGAAAGGTGCGTTTCCCGAATTGGTCTTCCCGGGAATTCTACAAAATTTATGTGGCGAACGGCTAGGGAGTGGAAAACCTGCAGTCTTATTCCTTTAGCCTTTTCAAGGCGAGAATGAATAGGCATTATTTAGTGGTTGCACCGACATTACATTTTGATTGTAGGTACCTCGCGTAATTTAGACGCTTTCATATTTGAAGCGTATTGGAAATGGTTTGATTCGATCAATAATTGCTTCCTTGATCGATCCCTTTCCCGCACATACCTTAGTCGCACGCAATAGAGAGACTACGTCACCAAGTGGTCACACCTAGCGGACGAAGAAGAATACAATCGCTTCCGCCCTGTTGAAATTTCGCCGACGAATGCAATGGCCGTCCGCGCAACAACGAAAAATCATAGTGTACGTACTTTTTGGCGAACTTGTAACATCCTGTAAGGATGCCGTATAAGGAAAACTCACGAAACTTGACAAACACAATAAATATATTTCTTTTAACCACGTGTTACTACTCAAATTCTCAACCGCCAAAACCAGTATGCCCCACGCCAGCACCTTCCCTTTATCAACCTTTCATTCTCCGGTGTTGCCTTTTTATTTCAACCGATTTTATCTGATTTTAATCGATTTTTAACCGACTTCAAAAAAAGGAAGGGTTCTCAATTCGTCTGTATGTTTTTTTTGTATGTATGTTACGCGTTAACTCCGCCGTTTGTGAACCAATTCTGATGATTCTTTTTTTGTTGGAAAGAAGGTACCTCAGATGTGGTCCCATTTAAATTTCAAGAAAACATTCCACCTCTAAGGGTGGCAAACTATGGGATGAATGACTTTTGAGGTCGGTTTTTTTAACCGGAGGTTAGGTTAGTTTCATTAATAAAATTACTTGTAAATCATACTGTTTGACTAATTTATAACGAATTGTACAAAAATTAGTGGCAAATTCAAAGAGACCTTACAATCCAGAATCGCTTTCTGGGCGATGTGGAGCCGAGATCACTTAACTCACCGGCAAAAGGGCTACGCGGTTGACTTTTTTTTATAATTTCAAGAGGTATTGTGCTCCCAGCTTACCTACTCTTTATTTGTTCTAATCAACCATACATATTTATTCATATACAGTTCACAAATCAAAGGAAAGCATGGTTCTCATTCCCCGCATAAGTGGCCGGTTTGGGCTTAGCACGTTTGTTCGATCATCAACTCAACAACTGATGGAAATCAGTTCAGAGGAGGTCAAATACACAGTTATTTTTTAATATATAAAACCTTACATTGCGCCCACTCAACAGATCGTTACAACTAACAGTTTTTCTCTCATTTTACACATTCCATTTAGATGAAAATGTGTCAAACACATTTGATTTTTCTGCAAAGTAGGAAGAATAAACAATGGCTATAGTTTTTGTTTAGGTACTTCACTTCAATGTAAACAATCTTTAGAAGTCTATTTAATGAAACATACATTTATAAAATTATTTTTACTTACCTTCAAATACAAAATACAAATACTTAGCTTCATATAAAATTGCATGCCTATTTTTATACCTATTGATTTCTAAAACAAATGTTTCAATAACAATCTCAGCACAGAGTACCAAAAAAAACCGACCTTAAAAGTACGTGGAATTACGTCTATTTGCTAAGTTTTATTGAAATATCCTTAAATTCGCCACTATGCAGGACTTGACACTGGAGATAATAAAAATCGGTTCTCACAACTCAAAAAATATTGAGAGAAAAACGCCTTGAATTGGAGAAATAGCAAAATCAACCATTAAAATAATTGCTCCTTAAGAAAATTTAGGCGCTATTCATAAAAATGAATCTTCATGCGTGAACAGCCACCCTTAGAGGTGGATGATTTCCTTCAAAATGAAATGGGACCACTATGGAAGTACCACCTTTCCAACAAAAAAATAATCATGAAAATCGGTTCACAAATACCGGAGTTATCGCGTAACATACATATAAAAAAACAAAAAAAAAACATAGTCTATGTAATTGAGAACCTCCTCCTTGTTTGAAGTCGGTTAAAAAGATGAATCAAGATTGTTTACATTTAGTTAAGTACTATAATAGTCACTCGGTTACAGATTAAGAAAAAAAACTACCTTTTTTTAACCGACTTTAAAAAAGGAGGTTCTCAATTCGACTGTACTTTTGTGTATGCGATTGTAAACCAATTTCGATGATTCTTTTTTTGTTAAAAAGAGGGTATGTCAGTACTGGTCCCATTCGAATTTGAACAAAATATTCCACCCCTAAGAATGGCAAATTAGGGGATGAATCCATTGTTATTGGACTTCACCCACTTGCCGTTAACGGCTTTGAATATAATTTGGCGAATAGATGTAATTCCAGAAACTTTTGAGGTCAGTTTTTTATTATTGCTAATTAAGTAGCAGTAGATCATGTTGTGAAAGAGTTTGTCCAGGGAAATAATCCTACCTTACCTATTTCTGCCGCCAAGCAGTGACGTCAGCATTACTGTGGTCCTGTTTTGAACAGTCAGCCAGTCCAGGCACATGGGACTTGTCAACTAATGTCTCAGGGTGACGGGCGCAGTGGCAGTGCCCCTAAGATCTTTGCGATTTAAAACTGTACTGCGTGAGCAAGAAAGTCTAGGGATTGCTCTTTGTAAATATACATTAGTACATATTTATCATTCACGATATTTTTTTCAAATATCTTACAATAAAAATAACCTAAAGAGCTAAACGGGTCATTTCCACGGATTTATGTCATCCAAGTATAGTCAGTGTCAAGTTTTTGTTTCATTATTGTATTAAACCACGTAAATGACAAATGTTTGGATATCAACTCTTATTAGAGAACCGTGTACATTGGCCTTTCATTGTTTTTATTTGTAGCAATAAAACGCTCTGTCACATCGTCTATAAGGCATCAATAACCTTTAAACAAAAAGGGCAGCGAAAGGTTATGTATCCCCGAAAAGTTGCCATTTAGAATATAAAAATCAAGCTTTTGGTATTTTATTAATGGCTTAGTAATACTCTGTTTAAAATATTAAAACAATATATATATATATCTGTCATCCGCTTACTAAAATGCAGGTAAGTGACAAAATAACTTCTTGAGATATCATAAAAAACCATAACCCAGTTTTAGAACATTGATATTTCGGCTATGCATCGTTAGGGTAAGTTCCGATAAGTCGTACACGTTAACTAATTTTAACTATTTATAAACGAGAATTTTGTGCTCTATTTAAAACAGATATTTGACCATTTGTCACATAGCCGCGTTTTAGTTAGTGGATGCCAGATATTTATTAGTAACAGTAGAGCTCCTGTCAAAGAATTCGTCCAGGGTAGTAATATAATGGGGTGTATGGAAGGAGCCTCCCCGTGTGGCGCATCGACATAATATATGTAAAAAATATATAATCGTAAAATAGAAAAATTATTTTCATTATCATTTATTTAAATATTATAAGGGTAAATAAGCTCATTCCATATATTAATTTAAAAAGTTTGTTAATTGATATTATTTTCCGGTTTGCGAAATGTTACCGTGTAGATGGCGTGTCGGTGTTGATTGTGATTGGTCCGAACACTTTATCTACCGGTTCGACTAGCCAATGACATTGCTTTTAAAGTTCCCTACTTGCGAAAAATGGCGGGAATTGAAAAAGAAGGGATTTACGAGGCAATGTCTTGAGGTGAAAAAGAAATTTATGCATTCGTATCTCATCAAATGTTAAAGTTACATTGGTCAGGAATTATAACGGTATTTTGTGGTTACAAATTTTGTTGAGTATATTTTAAAGTTCTAGTATAAATTGTTGGAGGAATAGATAATTTAATAAATCAGTTTGGTTAATACGGCGTTTTATTGGAGTGTTTGGAAGAAGTCTACATATATTATGCGCCCGGCGCACCCTGGGCAACGGTCTGCGGACGGCAAGTCGGTAACGCAGGCTGACCCATCCTCCACGACTCAAAGCTTCCCCAACGGCCCTTCTCAGGGCCATCAAAACAGCCTTTCGTCGACACGCTAAGAAGTAGTAATATAAGTTACTGTTTCCGTGTTACTGTGTTCCGCTTTTGAAGGGTGCTGGTAAAATTACAGGCACATGGGACTTGTCAACTTATGTCTCAGGAAGACATACAGACATAAGTTCTGAATGGTGCCACCAGGCCGACGACTTATTCATCCCGTCACTTGGTAATATAAAAGTCACACTACTGAGCACGGGTCTAGGCTACTTCACACGTTTTCCGAGCATTGTGAACGGTCTTCGATGTGCAAGTTTAATCGCGATGTTTTCCTTCACAGAAAAGCTCATGGTACAAATTTCGCACATAAATATCGAGAAACTCAAAAGTGCGATCCCGGATTCAAACCCACGACCTCAACTTAAAATTTTAGTAGCAGTAGAGCTCCTTGTGAAAGAGTTCGATCAAGGAAGTACTGCCACCTTACCTATTTCTGCCGCCAAGCAGTCATGACAGCATTACTGTGTTCCAGTCTTAAAGGGTAAGGGTGCTGGTGAAATTACAGGCGCGTGCCCCTCTGATCTTTGCGATTTAAAACTCCGAGTGGCACTGCAAGTGTTGTGGACAGTCGTGTAGCTTGCCATCAAGCACACGACTTGTTGGTCCCGTCACTTGATATTACAAAAATAATAATAACTATCATAACAGTCTAAAATAGATATTATAATAATAATAAATTGAATAAATAATACATACCTTCCATTTTCATAAATAATAGAAAGTCGAAAATTCGTTAACCAGTTTTAAAATTTTTAAAGAAAAAAATATTCACTTTTGAATAAAATAATTTTCATTAGGATTAGAATCTAGAGGCCGAGAATCTGGTAAAAAGAGGCCAACATCGTGGGAGAGGCCAAATCAGGCCGACTTCGCTGGCTTGGCCACGTCGAAAGGATGGGTGAGGATCGTGCAGTCAAGGGAGCATATCTGGGGCAACTGGCAGAAGGCCGGTTGGACGTCCTGGATAACGTTAGATCGACCTAGTCCAGAAAGTCCTGTGCCAGCTTCAAATAGCCGATTGGCATAGAAAAGAGAAGAGCGGCGCCAAGATCCACTTCGGATCGCTGAGCCAGTGAAGTAAGTAATTTTCACACTGCAAAGCGAACGCCGCAATACCGCAGTCCTTGAAGACAAAAGTCTTCGAGCAGTGCGTGTTGCCAGCGATGACCACCAGCTCTGAGACGTGATCACTTACAATAGGCTTCATAAAAAAGCTCAAGGTCACTTAACGAGCTATGGAGCGAGCAATGCTTGGCATTTAAGGAGACCCGTAGGAGAACGAAGGTCACCGACATAGCTCAAAGGATTAGCAAGTTGAAGTGACAGTTCTCGAATGGAGACCACGAACCGGAAGGCGGTTATTCGGACGGATGACCTGGTAAGGGCGACGGGCAACCGATGGACGCACGTCGCTTCCGACTGGGTAGTCTGGCAATCTTTGGGAGAGGCGTATGTGGACGTCTTCCGGCTGATATGAAGATGACGATGAACGCGAACGCATTACACTCCTCAATTCTAAACTTAGTTTTACACAATCACCTCCCGACACTGTTCACAGATTTCCTCTAAGGTTAAAATTAATACAATGTAAATTTTTTTAACACAAATTTCCTTATTATGTTTGTTAGTTATAATGCGTGTGCGCACAAACGCATGCGATGTGGAAATAAATTCATTGTATATTATTTAATACCAAACACGTCATCTTCCAATGATCTAATTTGTAACGATTGTAATTATCATAATAATATATAATTTATTCATGTAAATAACAGATTTATGTTAATTATTACGTATTTTCTGTGTGCATTTGAACTATGAAAATTTACTTTTCATATTACTTATTTTTATGATACCATGTGATAAGGCGTGCGCCTGGTGGTCAGCGACACCTCTGTCCCTAACAGCTGCAGCGCCACTCAGCTCCTTAAATCACAAAGATCTGAAGGACACTGCCACTGCGCCTGTCACCCTGAGAAATAAGTTGACAAGTCCCATGTGCCTGTAATTTCACCAGCACCCTTACACTTCATAACCAGAACGCAGTGGCCCGTAAGCCTTCTTACATTGGCACAGCTGAATTTAGTAACACCGGCGCTGCAAAAGGTTGGTATAACCAATCCGCAGCAAGGACATTAATGGAGGCTTATGTCCAGTTCATTCCATCAGTGAGAACCGCTTGAACGCATGCGCTGCTAGAGCGTGTTTATTATGTCTCCGGCCGCGTGACACAGATTTTAAAGGCTCGCATTAACATTAATAAACCCATCATGAATATTAATTACATGACTCCACTTGAGTGATGTTTTAGAGCGATGAGTCTCAAAGTGCTCTATATCGAACCCCAAAGGGAAAACTATGACATGAGACCAATACAAAGGTCGCAGTTATCGCGTAACATAAAAAAATATAAAAATTATTCCTCGCATCAATGTTATATATATGACTATTTTTACTATTCTTGACATAAGTTAGTAATACGACAAAAATATCGGACTAGTTAGTAAATTAAGAGTAAAATCGTTTATTATAGTACAGAAGAAACTATTGTTTCGTAAAACAGTAGGAATGAGATTCCACACTTGCGTATTGTAATTAGCGTAAATTATTGATGATATCATGCATTAAGTTATTGTAGATACGTTACATTGTACTGTAACATACGTGGCCTACAAAATCGGTCAGTTAACTGAACAGGGTTGACAACACAGTTGAATTACTCTGACGTAACTGTGTATTAATAAGGGTGGTTATCCAGTGGGATAACGGTGGTGAAATGTTTACAAGCCTTGAAAAACGTGAATCTGCCATTATATAGACCAATAGATTGACACACTTTTTAGCTCACTGCCTACTTTAGCAGCAGTAGATCTCCTTAAGATCCAGGGAAGTACTGCCCCCTTACCTATTTCGTAATGTGTGCTGCTGAAATTACGGGCACATGGGACTTGTCAACTTATGTCTCTGGGTGACGGGCGCAATGGCAGTGCCCTTCCTCAGTTCTTTGCGATTAAAAGCTTTGAGTTACATTGTAACTGCTATGGACAGGCGTGTCGTTTACCAGGGGCATGACTGGTTCGTTCCGTCATTTGGTATTATAAAAAAAAACTCTTTAGGTTATAAATTAAGGCTTCAATTCCCCTGAGTTCTTCTTACCTCACCTGATCAAATGCTTTTCTCATCTTCCATTTTTTATTACTACGGCAATGAACAGACATAGGGGATAACTCTAACTCTACCGACAAGAACCTAGCTGCTAACTAAGAAGAAAATATACCTATGCACGTCAACTGCTATAGTAAGAATTTTCCTCAATAAACCTAAGGAAATTCCCATGAACGTAAAATAGCTCCCATAGCGTTCTATTTTTACCTTGATGACGTCATAACCACGTCACAGACCTTAAATAGACGTGTCTACTATGATTCATGGCGAAGGAAACGGTTGTCGAATATCATACAATATTTACATAAATACAACTGTATAAATATAGATATCAACGTATAATAACGGAAGATTAGCGAAAATGGCGTCGCTGTCTTCACAAACTGCTGTATCTGGTATTTCTGTTGTGTTTGAACCCGAGACTGCTTTCAAAAGCTAAACTTCTTTACTAACCGTCGTAAGTCTACCTTTTTTACCTACGGATATAATTCATGGCTAAAACTAGTTTGAAAACATCAAGCGATAAGCTTATGTTATATGATTAATCGTTTTATCACCATGGCAAACATTAATGTACGTCATTAATACGAAAAGAAAAAGAAGAATCGAAGAGCGCAAGCTCGTATAAATATACATTGACGAACAACCTTGTTTAAAAACCTTCAAGACACCAGCATGAGCATAATCTCGGATTCGATTACTTATTAACAAACCCGTGAAGTACGAGCGCCCTTTCTATCCATAAAATGATATTTATAAACAATAATGGATCAAATTCGATACTATATGTACTGAACCTCTGAAGGATATTGGATTTAGTACAGTGCCCTGACGTACTCTAAGTAAGCTGGATTCTTGTCAATTGCTTTGGAAGAGTTTTGTAAACCTTCAACGTGCAACTATATTTAACAGTGGATTCCAAACAGTATACGTGAAAAATAATTGAAAGTAAAAACGGAGACCCATGGGCTGACAGCTACCTTGTCCAACGCATTAGCATAATCATACAAGTAGGGAACGTTGCCAGCACTCTGGGCACCACGCGAATCTGTGTCGTCTACTTAATCTAGCACTAGTATTTAATATTTTTATGTAAAGCTATATATAATAAGGAGTAAATCATTTAGTAGCAGTAGAGCTCCTTGTGAAAGAGTTAATCCAGAGAAGTATTTCGTTGTGCAGTTGTGGTTTTGAAGAGTAAGGATGCTGGTGAAATTACAGGCACATAGGACTTGTCAACTATGTCCCAGGACGAGCGCAGTGGCAGTGCTTCCCAAGATCCTTGCGATTTTAAGCTCTGAGTGACACTGCATCTGTCATGGATAGGCGTGTCGCTCACCACCAGGCACAAGACTTGATCGTCCCGTCACTCGGTGTCTTTTTCTTTTAATATTGTTATGATTAGCACAGAAAAAGGTTAGTTGGAAATCTCTTTAAGGGATAAGCTCGCTCGTACACTAACATTTTGAATTGCTTGTTAAAATTTGTAATTTAATTTGTTATACAATAAAGTGTTCACATACAGTTTTGTAGCATAGAAGTTGAAATTAATTTGTGACTGCGTAGATGACTGTCACGAACACCCGGTTTATTTTTATTCCTCGTATTCAAATTTCTACTCTTTTGTACTATGACGCCAAGGTAAGCATGTTGATTTCTTTAAAATTCTCTCTCGTACATAATGCTATCTGAAATTCTTCAGCATTTAAGAACACAACCAAGATGAAGTAGATTTTGGCTGTTCCAACACTACGACCAATATTATTAAGAAAACCTTTCACTAAATAGTAAACAAAAACGTACGTCATACGGTTTGGCACAGATCTCAGCTCGCAGAGCACACCATGGTGCTCCAAAACAAATTCAACGGCATAAAACACTCTCTTCACTTGTAAATTATTTTTATTACACTGTCTACCCTCTCTTAAGTTTTCAAAGGTTAATTGTTCCATACACTAATTCCAATTTTTTCTGCACTATGGTTTAATGGCCACACCATACACGTCGCGCTACTGTGCCCAGATCTTTTTAAGGTACAATACACTACATTGCAATTTTGTTTTATCATAATGAACTAAAAGCTAAACATTACGCGTGCAAAGCCAGCGGGAGACTGACGATGAAGAAACCTTGGCAGATAAAGGTAGGTTTACATGGGGGCGATAAGAAATAAGAATAATATATATACATACTACATTGCTTATCTACCACTGGAGCAGGCAGAGACTACAGTCCTCGACCTGATTTGCAGGCATATCTCTTTCGACTCCTCCACTCAGCCCAGTCTTTTTATCCAAATCCGTTTATATTTAGTCGTTTTGGCCTAGAGTTTTTAAGGACATATTTAAGCAGGCAAAAGAGCAGATGTACATCTTGATAGGAAGTAGTCATCGTTGCAAATGGACATGTTTGTTGTGTACTGTAGTCTAGGCTCTACTCTATGAGTAGAAGTACTGAATGAATACATTTTGTGTTTAGAATGTATTTAAAAAAATAGGATAGAAAAAAGAAGAACATCTTAGGAGTTCTAGAAGAAGCTTCCAAAAATCAACACGTAAAATACGTAATAAATATTTATTTATGAAGAAATTCCCAGTTTATATTTAAAAGGATCTAAAATTCTGAAGATAGTTTAGTGATGCATTTAGGAAGTTCTAGAAGTGATGTTTAAGGATTTGTTAGGAACATTCAGCAAAGCTAGGGTAGCTGAAATAAAGAATTAAGATTTAGATAGGTTACCTAAATAGCTAGGATAGCTAACGAATAATTATATTTTGAATTGGTTGATTAGGATGTGGTCATGATCTGTCCTTTTAGATAGGTTTTTGGCAGACTAAAGCCGCAGCCTCCTCGGTGGTTTGCTTGTTGGTAAGGTAGTTTAGCTTCCGAGCAGTGTGTGGCTAGCCTATAGTAAAGGCTGATCACTTATGTAAGTTGCCAATCATAGGTAGGGCACCAGCTAGGAATGTTCACCTGTTGACTCGCTATTTGAACACCCCTATCTCATAGAGCAAAAGAAATTCTCCAAGAGGGAGATCATTCCACATCTTGCAGGTTCGAGGACGGAACTTACTTGGAAATTTTACAAGAAAACCGCTGTATTCAATAGATACTTTGCATAATACCAATGATCTTTTTTATATGAAACGAGCTAAATAGAACACGTACACGATATACATTTTTCAAATAACTCTAATTTCATTTGTAAAAAATAAATTCTGAAATAAAGTCAGTGTCCCTGCAGTGTGTATCTTCCGTAACTCCAAAAGACGTCTATTTA